AGCTGGAATTTGGGTCTGAAACTATCAAAATCGAGTTCCCCATAACTTTTTATCCCCGGAAACCAATTTTCAGCTCGAAGGCTCAAATTGTCGTGAAATTCTGTGTCTAGTCTGCACCCTACTTGGTGTTTGCAGACCAGACACCAGAGTTTACGACAATTGAAGATCGGTCGCTAAAATTAGAGTTCTTGGGGTAAAAAAGCATGGGAAATTAGATTTTGATAGTTTCAAACCCAAATTTTGACTCTGGAATCTAGAAAACTGCAATTTTGAAGCTTCCAGAGCTAGAACCAGTATTTGAAACTATCAAATTCGAGTTTCCCATGTTTTTTTACCCCTGGACACCAATTTGCAGCTCTCTAGCTCAAAATGTCGTAAAATTTGGTGTCTTGTCTGCGCCTACTTGGTGTTTGCAGACCAAACAAAGAACTTGACGACATGTTGAGCTAGAGCTCTGAAAATTGGTTTCTGGGAGTAAAATAGCATGGAAAGCCCGATTTTGATAGTTTCGGACCCGAATTTCAGCTTCAGAGCATTGAAAATTGCAATTTTCCTTTTTCTTTAGCTTCAATACTATTCAAAAGTTGTTGCTTTCTCTTTTATCATTCTTATCATAAAGATATCAGAAGGTGACAAATAAAAAATGACCTCGAAACACTTTTCTTATCATTTCTTCGCATTTTTGTAACATTTGTTCGCCGGTTTTGGACTTTTGGAACAATATTTTATCCAAAATGGACTACAAATTTCATAAAAAACCCAAAAAGTAAGTTTCAGCTGCCTAAATAAAAATTTCTAAAGGATTACTGTACCTTTTTTTCAGAACACTAATCAAATTGAATCAGAAGGCAATGTGAGTTTTTTTCTAAAAACTACAGTAATCCTAGCGGATTACTGTACTTTTTTCCAGGTGTGAAGGCGATGATTGTTTGGCGGTTGTGCTGAAAGTTTCGATGAAAATTCATCGAAAATCTGGGAAAAAATTTTGTAGGTGGGATGATTTTTTTGGATAAAAATTTTTTTTTAATTTTAAAAATTTTTGAAAAATTAAAAAAAAATTTTTTTTAGATCATACTATGAGAAATTGAGAAAAAGAGAAGAAAAGGAGAAAAAAGAGGAAGAGGAGGATAAAATAGTGGAAATTGAGGAAATGTGAGTTTCAGAATTTTCAGCAAATTCAGGAATACCAAAAGAAAATTTTTTAAATTTTTTGAATCTGAAAAATCGAGAAAAAGTCTCAAAATGAATTTTAAAAAATGATTTCAAAAACTGAAAATTTATATTTTTTCAAGTTTTTGAAGTTTTCAAATTTTCGAATTTTCTGAAATTCTGAATATCATAACTTCTGAAATTGTGAAATTTGAAATTTCCAGTTTTTTTAGATTCTTGGAATTTTGAAATTCAGTATTTTGGAATTTGGACATTTCAGATATTTGGAAAGTCCTGATTTCGAAAGTTTCTATTTCCAGATTTTCAGATTTTTAAATGGATTTTTAGAACTTTCAGAATCCCAAAACTCTTTGAAAATTTGGCAAGTTCAGAATTTCAAAATTTTTAGATTTTCAGATTTTTCGAATATTCAAATTTTTCAGAAATTCAAAAATTCTCAAAAAACCAGAAATTCAGAAATTCAGAAATTCAGAAATTCAGAAATTCAGAAAATATCCGAAAAAGCAAGCATTCTGAAATTTGAATGGGATTCTAATGTAAGAATTAGAAAAATCTGAAAATCTGAGAATTTCGAAAAATCCAAATTAGTAAAATTCTCACTATCACAAATTCCTGACTTTGGAAATCCTCATGACCTACAAAATCGGAAATTTTGAAAAATTTGAAAAATTTGAATTTTCAGCCTTCCAGTTTTTTGGAATTTCTGAATTTCTAAATTTCTGAATTTCTAAATTTCTGAATTTCTGAATTTCTGAATTCCAGATTTCTGAATTTCTGAATTTCTGAATTTCCGAATTTCTGAATTTCTGAATTTTTGAATTTCTGAATTTCTGAATTTCTGAATTTTTGAATTTCTGAATTCCAGATTTCTGAATTTCTGAATTTCTGAATTTCCGAAATTATTTTTTTTTATCATGATATCCGCAACATATTATTTTTATTTTTTAAAAACCGCCAATTTCTGAAGACGTCGTTCCCGAAAATATCTTTTTGGAAGGATTGAAATCCTTCATGGCCATGGAAAATGATTCGCAAAAATCAAAAAAACAATTGGAAGTTTCTGGAACTTCTGAAAAATCCAGGTCAGTTTAAAAATCCAGGTCCATCCCTGGATCCCTGGATTCCTGGGTCCCTGGGTCCCTGGGTCCCTGGGTCCCTGGGTCCCTGGGTCCCTAGTTTTTTTCAAATTAAAAAAAAATCCCAACTTCCAAGAAATGTTTATTTCTCAATTTTCAGCATCTCGGAAATTTCAAAAAAATCCAAAAATCAATCGGAAGTTCAAGATCCTGAAAAAACAAGGTTAGCTTTCTTATTTAAAAAAAAATATTCTGAACATTCCCAAATTGCAAAAATATGGAATTTCAGAATAACTCAAAATCTCAGGGTTTTTCAAATTTTTTCAAGAATCTAGAATTTCCTGAATACTTTGCTAGTTTAGATTTAACTAAATAGTTTTTAAATTTTCCAATTTTTTAGATTTTACTAGAATTTTCCATTTTGCTAGATCAGATTTTTCATATTTTCCGAATTTTCACAATTTTCAGCACCCGAAAAACTCCAAAAACCCAATTGAAAATCTCTCGGAACTCGTAACTGGCATCGGAAACCAAATCTCGCCATTTCTCAATTTTTGGGATCCCCGATTATCAGCATTTCAGTCGTTTCAGCCTCCACATGGGAAAGTTTATGGAAAATGGATGCTAATACCTAAAAAGCCAAAAAAGTTAAGAAAAAAAGAAATTAAAAATTTTCTGGGTTTTTAAAGTTCCCGCAAACACTCTAATAAAACGCCACCCGATTTGTCAAATTTGAGCCCGTGTATCCCATTTGTTGTGAGAAATATCAAAAAGTGATGAACTAATAAAAAATTGCTGATATCATGATAAACATTTTATCAGTTGACGACTTTATAATTTTTCCTTTATAATTTTTTTGGGTTTTTGAATAAATAAGGTATAAAAACCGGTTTTTCGTTCTTCAACTACACGGTTTATATAATTTGGGGTCGTCGGAAAAAAAAGAGATTGATGACGAAAAATGACCTTGACGGGAGAACAAAAATTCGATGCAAATCTGAAAAAAAATCTGAAAATCTATAAAATCCGATCCAAAAATTCAGAAATTCAGAAATTCAGGAATTCAGAAATTTAGAAATTCAGAAATTTAGAAATTCAGGAATTCAGAAATTCAGAAATTCAGAAATTCAGAAATTCAGAAATTCAGAAATTCAGAAATTCAGAAATTCAGAAATTCAGAAATTTAGAAATTCAGAAATTTAGAAACTCAGAAATTCAGAAATTCAGAAATTCAGGAATTCAGAAATTCAGAAATTCAGAAATTCAGAAATTCAGAAATTCAGAAATTCAGAAATTCAGGAATTCAGAAATTCAGAAATTCAGAAATTCAGAAATTCAGAAATTCAGAAATTTAGAAATTCAGGAATTCAGAAATTCAGAAATTCAGAAATTCAGAAATTCAGAAATTCAGGAATTCAGAAATTCAGAAATTCAGAAATTCAGGAATTCAGGAATTCAGAAATTCAGAAATTCAGAAATTCAGAAATTCAGAAATTCAGAAATTTAGAAATTCAGAAATTCAGAAATTCAGAAATTCAGGAATTCAGAAATTCAGAAATTCAGAAATTCAGAAATTCAGAAATTCAGGAATTCAGAAATTCAGAAATTCAGAAATTCAGGAATTCAGGAATTCAGAAATTCAGAAATTCAGAAATTCAGAAATTCAGAAATTCAGGAATTCAGAAATTCAGAAATTCAGAAATTCAGGAATTCAGGAATTCAGAAATTCAGAAATTCAGAAATTCAGAAATTCAGAAATTCAGAAATTTAGAAATTCAGAAATTCAGAAATTCAGAAATTCAGGAATTCAGAAATTCAGAAATTCAGAAATTCAGAAATTCAGGAATTCAGGAATTCAGGAATATTCAGAAATTCAGAAATTCGGAAATTCAGGAATTCAGGAATTCAGAAATTCAGAAATTCAGAAATTCAGGAATTCAGAAATTCAGAAATTCAGAAATTCAGAAATTCAGAAATTCAGAAATTCAGAAATTCAGGTAATTCAGAAATTCAGAAATTCAGAAATTCAGGTAATTCAGAAATTCAGGTAATTCAGAAATTCAGGTAATTCAGAAATTCGGAAATTTTTCACATTTTTCAAGGATATTTCAGACACTTGGAAAGTTCAGATTTTCAGGATTTTCAGATGCTCACATTATCCAATATTCCAGACTTTCAGATTTTCTCGATTTTTAGATTTCTCGGGTTTTTATCCTAATTTTCATGATGCTCAGATCTTTAAGTTCCTTAATGTGAACCTAAATTTTTTTCACTAATTCTTTTTTTTTCTGCAAAGAAAAAAAAAGAAAAAGTTGCCAAAATTGAGGTCATCGGAGACCCCCTTGGAGACCCCGAAGATGGCAAACCGAGAGAAAAAATCGTATCTTCTTTTTTCTTTTTTTTTCCTAATTTATTTGTATTTTTCTGTTGATATATTGAATTTTGTCAAATTAAAAAAAAAAAATTTCAGAGCTTTCAATTTTCAGCACTTTTCGAAATTTCGAAATTCTATTTGCAAGATGAACTCTGCGGATTTTGAGAAAATGTAAGTTTTTCCAGATTATTTTTCAGCAAATTTCACTTTTCAGATGTTCTGTCCAACTATGTAACACATTGTTGGCTGGCAAGGCTACATATCTACACCAAGTGACACGGAATAGAATTTGCAGGTAACCTTTGGAAATCCGGGAATTTTGGGGGGTTTCAAGCTGAAATTTTGAGTTTGAGAATATCAAGATCGAATTTCCCATGCCTTTTTACCCCAGAAAACCAATTTTCAGCACGCTAGCTCAAAATTTCGTAAAATCTAGTGCATTGTCTGCAAACACCTTGATCTACACGGTGTTTGCAGACAAAGCATCACATTTCACGACAATTCGAGCTAACAAGCTGAAAACTGAGTGCTAGGGGTGAAAAAGTACGGAAATTCGATTTTCGATAGTTTCAGACTCAAATTTTACTTCTGGAACTTTCAAAATTGTAATTTCATAGTCCGAGGTTCACAATACGGGTCTGAAACTATCAAAATCGAGTTTCATATGCTTTTTACCTCTGGAGACCAATTTTCAGCGCTCTAGCTCAAAATGTCGTAAAATTTGATGATTGCTCTGCGGTATTTGCAGACCAGACACCAGATTTTACGACAATTTGAGCTAGAGAGCGGAAAATTGGGTTTAGAGGTAGAAAAGCATGGAAAACTCGATTTTGATGGTTCTAAAACCCAATTTTCACTCTGGAACCTTGAAAATTCAAAATTTCAGACCCTGCTGGCAATATTTCAAGAAACATGAAATTGATCGGACGTTTTTGCTGGCTAAGCAAATGAAAAAGATTCAGTAAGGACATCCGGACACACAGAAACATAGAAAGTTGAAAAACACTTTTTTCAGGTGTAGTGTGGAACTTTGCGATGAGACCGTTTCTCCCAACAGCAATTTACGGCATTCGGAAACGAAGAAAACAATTTGCAAGTGAGAGAAAAAATGCAGAAATTCAGAAATGCAAAATTTCCAGAAAATGTCACAAATATCGGAAAACCCATAATTTGGACCGAACTGTGTTGCTAAAAAGTCAAATGAACAATAAATCTATTTCGTGAGTTTGAAAAAAAACACTTTTTTTTGAAAATTATGGCTCTTTTCTAGTTTAGAGGTCCCAAAAAAGAATAGAGGTCCGAAAAAAAATTAGAGGTCCCAAAAAAAAATAGAGGTCCCAAAAAAGTTTAGTGGTCCCAAGAAAAAATAGTGGTCCAAAACTTAAAAATGCACAGATACCGGAATAATGTACTAAAATTTGAATTGTGTAAGAATTTAAAGTTTTGAGGTCTTATAGCAAAATAATTGTTGATGATATATTTTATACTTCTAATAGGCTTAGGAATGCATATTTTCTGACAATTATATAAGCCTGAGAAACAGCATAATCACGGAGTGATTACTGTATTGCCTAAATTTTCCTCATATGTAAATTGGGTTCATCGGCAAGATGCGAGAGAATTGGAGCTAAAATTGTTAGGAGTAGTCATGTCATCCTATAAGACCTTAAAACTCAAACTACTCGCACAGTTCAAATACTAGTACATTATTCCAACATCTGCGCGTTTTTCGTATTTTGGACCTCTATTTTTTCTTGGGACCTCTAAACTTTTTTGGGACCTCTAATTTTTTTTCGGACCTCTAAATTTTTTTGGGACCTCTAAACTAGAAAAGAGCCAAAATTATTAGGTTGTTCGGAAAGTTCGCGTCATTTTTGATTGGGCCCGTTTCCAACTGTGTTATTTCAAGCGGGGTACAAGCAAGGGACCAGTCGTTTTATCAGTATATTGTTGGGTCTAATAGTTTTTACACCCCAACAGAGATCATTCTCCTCTTCTCATAAAGTGACCCCCCCCCCCCAACATGTCATATTTTTGGACTGCCAATTTATTTAAATTTCTATCTGGCCTGAAAACTGCTGAAACCAAATGCCGATTTATGGAGGTTTACAACGAAGATGCATCCTTTCAAATTATCATTACACCCTGGCTTCATCAATTTGAAAAAGGAGAATTTCGTTGGACAAAAATCCCACTTCAACAAGACAAATGAGCTTAGATTTGGATGTATTAAAAACCGGGTTTGGAAGGGACCCACCGTAAAACCTCTAATAGAACGACACCCGGATCGTCCACTTTGAGCCTATATATCTCACTTCTTTTGAAAGATATCAAAAAGTGGTTAATTAGTAAAATGTTTATC